ACAGCAGCTCAGCGGTGGAAAGGCATGGATTCCCAAGAAAAACCAAACACATTGCAAGTTCTTTTTATTCCTAACACCCATTCTGTGCAGTTTTTAGGTTGTCATCACCCATGATGGATAAAGGATTCTGGATTTGAATGCTTGATAAGCTATGCAACATTAGGCATGTCGTTTGACTTCCGAAGCCTTGAATTCCACATCAATATTACCACTAATTGTTTTGAATTGTGGTGAAGATTGGGGAAAACAATAGTTGTCCATCATGATAACTGTTTAATGACTGGACTGTCACCCACATACAGTGTCCTCAAAAGTCCGCCTTTGTCAACAAGAAAGCCAAGCTTTGGGTCCCCTGTCTGTTAAGCTGTCTATGTAAGCTGTAAGCTCTATAAACTGGTTCCAACCACGATCAAGCTTGTCTCCCTAGAAGATCCAAATCCTGACTGGTGTAGATGTAACCATCTTATTAAAATAGAAACACAGAGCCAAATACAGAGTTGAGAGCCCAAGAGGTCAGAGCAATAGCTAAGAGCTAAAAACCCTTTCTTACCCTTCACCGCAGCTGCTGTCCTTCCCCTCAGAAAGAGGCATACTTCCTGTGTGTCTGTCTTTTTATTGACTTTCGGTTCTGCCTTCTCATTGGTTGTAAACCCAAACACATGACCTCCTCGTCACTGCTTGTCTAAACAAACCTCCTGGTCTTCTATGGTTGGTATTGAGATTAAAGGTGTGTGTCTCCATGCTGGCTATATCCTTGAACACACAGAGATCCACCTAGCTCTGCCTCCCAAGTGCTGAGATTAAAGGCGTGCACCACCACCGCCTGGCTTCTTCTGCTATGGCTTGCTATTAGCTCTGACCCCCAGGCAACTTTATTTATTAACATACAAATAAAATCACATTTCAGTACAAATAAAATATCACCCCGTAGATTGGTTCTTTCAGGGTCTCACCTGGTGATCACCATGAAGGATAAATATCCACTCATTGCCTTTAAGCTGGTCCACCTAGGGAAAGGATCAGAGTTCTTTCCACATGTTTTAAGTCGTTTAACAGCATCCTTTAATTGCATGAGCTTACATTTTTTGTGTTCCCGTCCCTCTCCTCCAGACACAAGGCTCCTTTTGTCTTTGATTTTCCAATAATTAGCACAGTGGTGATCGCATAGCAAGTACTCAGTGGATGTCTTTTGAAGGAATGTTGGCTACAGGATGGAATGGAGACAAGGGACTAATATAAGATCAAAGCAGCAGCCTGTGACTTGCAGGCTGTTTTCTTGGGACTCTGATTTCCTACCTGTATGGAGCCTCTTCCAGGGACAGGGCCATTCTCAAAGGGAAGACTCATTGTGGTAGCCTCATTCCAGGGAGAAGCAAACTGATAATGGCATTCATTCTGTACACTCAACTGAACAGGAGCTATTAGTAGATTTTTCTGTAAACTCAACTGAAATTGTGTTTCATTCTCCTCTGTTCTCAGTGGAAGAGGCTTAGTTTGGTTCACTGCAGCTCCTTTTTTTTTTCTTGAACCATTATGGGATCCGAACTTCATCTAGTCCTAGGACAATCCCTGTCCAACTGCATCCCTGAAGGGCCACCGCACTGGCCAGCCCTGGGCATCAGGTACCCGGGAGTCAATGTGTTGTTGCTATTTACCATCCTGGCAGTGCCTGCCACTGTAGATCGTTTCCTGCTCTGTCCCTGATCCATCGGGCACACACAGTTGACTCTGTCCTCTACATCCTGATTCTTTCACGCCCCTGGGGCAAGAGGCATTAATGTCCTAGGTGATTTATGAAAGAAGGGTAAAGGGTACAAGGAAATGAAATGGACACAGACGTACACATAGAAAGGGGAAAAAAAACCTGGTTAATGGTTCAGAATCTCTCTGCCACATAGATCATTCAAATTAAGATGGATTGAGTGAGGAGGATGTGCACCTGTGTACAAATAGCCTGTGGAGTTCTCGGGAACGAAGATGCTCTGAAGTCCAGAAGACACTGAGAAGCTCTGCAAACTCGCTATTTGAAGCGAACAAGCAAGGAGAACAAAATTGAAATGATTAGGGCCGTCCAAAATTGATAGTAGCTGCTTCGGGGCCAGCGTGTTCCTGGACAGAAAATGCTCATCTGAGGTCCTGATGCTTGCTTAGGTAGAAGAGATGGATGAGGAAGGACTGGATAGATGTCTTTAATAGCATCTGGAATGTGATTCTTTGGGAAGGAGTGTGTGTCTGTATGTGTATGTTCACAGAGAACACAGGGAAGGGGAGGAGAGACAGAGTTTGAAGTGGGGAGGGAGAGAAAGGAAGAAGAGAGGGGAAGAGAAGAAAGGGAAGAGAAGGGAAGGGAGGGGACGGGAAGGGAAGAGGAGGAAAGGGAGGGGAGGGGAAAGGGAGGGGAAAGGAAGGAGGAGGCTCATTAGACAACCATCATAAGAAGTTTTGGAGATTTGGAGGTTTGGTAAATCCAAGATCTTTGGAGTAGACCAGGAAGCAGGAAACCCAGGGACCTGCAGCTCAGGTCCAAAGGTCATCTGCTGGCAGAATCCCCTCTTCCTCAGAGAAGCTGACTCTTTGTTCTACTAAGGCCTCAAGTGCCTGGGCAAGACCCACCCACATTGGAAGGTTAATCTTTATTCCATCTTCTTCAAGAAACACCCAAAACAATGACTGTCCGCATACCCAGACACCCCAGGCCTCAGCCAAGTTGGCACATAAAATTAACCACCACGCTATGGTTCATAATAACTCATTCCAGTTTCTATTGAGTTTTCCCACGTCCTGGCAATCATGGAATATCAAATGGGTCTGATCTTGAAAACAACTTGTGAGATGATACAAGGTCCTGTAAAACTGTCCATGTTTTCCACTTCCTCCTTCTCCATCCCCTCTTCCCATTTCCCTTTTTCTTAGATCCTCCAGCTCCCCCTGGCCCCCTCCCCCAAGTTTTTCTTAGAGGAGAAAGCTGCTGGAGAAAAAGGAAAAAAAAAAAAGACAGTTTAACTGCAATACTTTTACAGGGCGATACCACGGCATGTTGCAACACTCTTATGCCCGAGGCAAATGTGTGTGAGACAAATTCCTCTCTTAGGTGCACACCATACCGTAATTCAGCACCTACCAAGCTTAGCCCTTTGATGTCTCTATATGTACTTTTCTTCTTACTCTGGTAGGTAATTTTCAAAATGAAACAAGCATTTAAAGCGCTGAAGTTTGGCTCCCAATTTCCTATGGGAAAAGTTTTAAAACCTTTCGCATACAATTATTTACGTAAGCTCTATTGCAAAAGGCGCTATGGGAGCAGACACCTGGGGTTGCATCCATCTTTGTCCCTATGGCTGGTGCTCCCCTCGCTGGTATAGATGTGGACAGGGCTGCTCTTCCCCATGTGGAGAGACTCAGACCCAGAAGGACGAGGGCAGAGACAATGATACCTGTTGCCATGACCAGCCTGCACTGGTTAGAACCATTATTTCAAAATATATGCCTCAGACAAAAAAAGCAAAGGACAGTTCTTTGATTTCACACCAAACTAAAAGCGCAGTTGCTGTGTAAATAAGTCAAAGGTGCTGGAGATGGAGTGAGTTAAGTCAACTTAAAAAAGAAAAAAAAAGATTTTTTTTTAAACATGGGCTTTGTAAAAAACTATTAAACCTGGGAAGTAGCCTAAATATCCATCAATTTATAAATGGACAAATGAATTTTAGTAGGTGCCTGTGTAGAATACTACTTAGCAAGGAAAAAGAGCAACCACTGCTACGTAGAAGAACATGAATAAGTCTCAGAAGTGTCGTGCTTAACATTAGAAGCCTGGCTTGAAATGCTCTATTCTGCATGTTCCTGTTTGGGTGACTTCTAGGAAAAGGCGAAACTGTCAAGACAGAAACAGAAGAGCAGTGCTCACAGGTGTGGGGTGACGGGGGAGGGAAATGTGGGGCTCTCTTGATGGTGGGGGGGGCGTGACTGTCTTACTTTGTGTAAATTTTCAGAAAATAATATCTAAGGGGTGATTCCATTTAAAGTAAATCCTAAAACTCTAACCCCTAAAGGTGGCTAACTTGGGGGGTCCATAAACTATCTCAGCGCACATGAGCATGAAATGGGGGTACGTGACCACGCAAAGACTCTCAAGAGATGGTAATTCCTGGAAACCAGTTGCTAAGGAAAAAGGGTGACTGGGAGAAGCCTGCTGCTGCTGACCTTTCTTCCCTCTTACTCTCCCAGAGCTCCAGGCATCATCCATGAGCACCCGAGCCACTGCCTTCAGGGGAGACAGAAAGCACAGAGCACAAACCCCGATTCCTAAGCAGTTCTGAGAGGTGAGCATTGCCAGCACCTAGGTTCTTTCTCCACCACTTTCCTTATGTCTTGGAAGACTGGAAACATCCAAGTCAACTTAAACCTTCTGGGTTCTTGCCTGTGAGCAGCGGGGGTGGGGGGGGGGTGGGGTGGGGGTGTATGTGGGGGGGAGTTCCCCAGAGGAGCCTCCTGTGGTTCCAGCTAGTTAACTATCTGCCTGGAGGCTTTAAGTGGACTCCCACCAAGGAAGCTGTTTCTTCTGGCTTCCTGCACATGCTACTGTTAGAGTGTGGCTTTTGGCTTCCAGACTCCTGTTGGAATTTAACCCCCACTGTGAGATAGTCAGGGGATGGAAATTTGACCTAATCCTGATGTTTAGAGATAGGGCCTCTGGGAGGTGATTAGGGCTAGATAAGGTCATCAGGATGAAGCCTTGTTATTGAATCCTCTCGTTTGTATAAGAGAGAAACCAGGAAATACACACACACACACACACACACACACACACACACACACACACACACACACACAAACGTATCCTGTTTTACCACGTGATATCCCATATCACTTCCTGACTTTGCCAGCAAGCTAGCCATCGCCAGACGTGGTCCCCGATTCTTGAACCAGAACTGTGGGCCAAACTAGATTCTTCATAATTAACTCAGTCCTTTAGTATTATGTTATAGCAACAGAAAACAGACTAATGTAGTACCTTTGGATGTTATGCCAAGACAACTAAAAAGACAGAATTTTTTTTGCCTTCGAGGATTGAAACAAAGTATACGGAAAGCTATTAAATTTCAGGGCAGAGATGTGCGGCTTACAGTGCCGACCAGTACTTCATTTGAACTCCAGGCCATGAGCTGTTACCCGGAAACAGTATAATCGAATCCTAATCGACTGAAGAGGAGGAGAAGGTAGGGAAACAGGAGGCTTCACAGGGATGAGAAGAGACAGCAGAAAGATACACCAAATCAGATTGAAGTGAGTCTCTCAAACGGCATCCAGCAGGGACTTGAACTGTGAACCATCCCGAGAGTATAATTTGTACTCCTTCTTTTCTCCCCCAGATTCACCTGGGTCTAAACTTGTTTACTTCTTGGCTACACGGGGTCACTACTGCATGCACTGCCGCCTGGCATACTGATGACTTGCATGGGCACTGCGGTCCCTCCCTTTCCTGTGAGAGCTGCAGAAAAAAAAAAAATGCATCATTAGCACCATGCTAACTAATCCACTCAGCCAAGCTGGATATGCACTGCAGAACCGCGCCTTCTCTGGGTGATGTGCGTTCTTCCACACCTGAGACCACTCACGTGGTACACCTCCCTGCACCAAGTCCTCTTTTCTGGGGGATAGAGCTTCTCATGTTTTACTGTTTCTCAGCAACGTGGAGACTCTGGGCTGAGGTGGACTTTCAGCTTTGCTTGGTAGAGCTCTGGGCTTTGTTTTTTGGTAACTTATTGGCTTGGTGTTGGCTTTAACACTAACCTATGATAATAAGGATTGCATGGGGGGAAAAATGAGGCCCTCTCAGTCAGAACAGTGGCCATAAGGCCCTGCCTGGAGTGTGTGTGTGTGTGTGTGTGTGTGTGTGTGTGTGTGTGTGTGTGTGTGTGTGTGTGTGTGTGTTTGTGCGTGTGTGCGCACAGAGGACCTAAGTCCAATGAGCATCCTGAAGGTCATACTGCCTGTGGCAGGAAGATCATTAGTATTGGTGCAGGTTAAACGACAGAACACAAGGGGATTAGGAAAGAAGGAGTAATATTTGGCTGTTTCAGCAGCCGGAAGTGACTCAGATTCAGTACTTTTACGCAAGAACATGGGATTCTTAGGCTACTGATCCCTGAGATCTGCGGGTACTCCACATATAGCAGATCTTCACCCACCACCATAGCTCACGGAACCGTCCCCCTTCCTGCTTCTTCCTCCTGGAATGCCTCGTGTCTCTGCTCACAGGAGCTCTTGGGTGCTTAGGCAGCCAAAACTTCGATCAAGGCAGGAGACAAATTTCGCTGCAAGACCAAGTTAGAGTAATGCCTTCCCAACACAAGGTTGGCAGGAAAGCTGCCAGACTCTAAAACAGCCACTGCAGATGGGAATGGATGGAAAATGGTTGTGAATCAGGAATTCTGCCCTCTGTTTTAGAATTGTTTGTTTGGTTGGTTGGGTTTTTCGTTGTGGTTATCATCGAGACAAGAAAAATGTTGTAAAATGTTTAACAGCAACAAAGGGAGGTTTGGAAGTAACCCCTAAAGGAGGCTGGTGGCTGGGAGTCAGGACAGGCTGGACAAGAGGGCATGAGCACAGGTGGGGGGGATAGGGGGTGAGGGGATGGGGGTGGGGGGAGACAAATGACCTAAGATGAGCGTTGCACAAACAAACCAACAAAAACCGGGCAACAACATTAGTTTGGGGAGGAGAAAGGGCAAATGAGGGTTCTAGAACTGATTAACATAGAAATCATGGAAGGAAAAGTCCGTAGAGCCACCTGCCAATGGCGACACGTGAAAGGTGGTGTCATTTAGGTGACCTTGTACTCTAAAGCTTGGGGAAGCCCTGGACAGAGTTAACTTGAGAAATAGAGAGTGTGAACTCCTTCCTGGAGCCCGAGTGGGAGATCAGACTAACTGTTGGATGTAGGAGACACCAGTTTTAGGAAAAATCAAATTGAACGTCACTTCATTAAATCATTAGAAACCTTACTTTTTTTTTTTTTTTTTAAGACAGGATCTCAGTTTGTAACCCTGACTAGACTGGAGCTAGAGCAGGCTGGCGTCGAACTCACAGAGATCCACCAGCCTCTGCCTCCAGAGGGCTGGGCTTAAAGGTGTGTGCCACCATGCATCAGGGCACCTCGGTGGTAATTCCAAGTTTTCTTTTTCCACATGACAGAAAACCCAAGAGCTAAGTATGGCTAGCAACGTCTCATCTCATGTCTACATTTATAGTCTCTAGAAAAAGCAGGTTCTACTTTTTTTTTTTTTTTTTTTTTTGGTAAATGAGTTTTGGGGATTCTTGTTTTATTTTTGGTAAGGAGCAGCTGTTTCAAGATTACTACATAAAATGGTCAATGAGATGACTCAATGGCAAAGATGCTTGTCACCAAAACTGAGGATATGAGTTTGATCTCCAGCATACACACACACACACACACACACACACACTCGCAGGCACACACCCACTAAATGTAATAAAACCTTTTAAAAGACACTGACGTTACATTAGAACTAGAAAACTTATCTTTCGTCGTGATTCCTTTCTCCTAACAGAAACAGAGATTATTGGATACTTAAAATTCTATTTAACTGGAATACATTTAAATTACTTTTCTCAGAGTATAAAGAGAAAGTGAGTGTGTCTGCAGAGGCAAGCAGAAGAACCCTGTTTGTAGTTGCTGTGACCTTGGGGATTAAAGAGACACTCAAAATGCCTTCTGAGAAAGCGTATTGGTGCACTGGTTGAACTCCCAGAGGGTTTGTGTCTCTGTGGTTTGCCTTGAGCTTGGCACACAGAACCATGCTACAGCCGAAATAGTCATTAGAGCTGTGGTTCTCAACCTTCCTAACGCTGCAACCCTTTAATATGGTTACGTTGGGGTGACCCCAACCATAAAATCATTTTCATTGCTACTTCATAACAGTAGTTTTACTACTGTTATGAATCGTAATGCAAATATCTGATCTTTCCAATGATCTCAGGAGACCCCTGTGAAAGGGTCATTTGACAATCCCCACACGCCACCTCAACCCCACCCCTCACTGCCCCCACCCCTGATCACAACCCACAGGTTGAGAACTGCTGCATTAGAGTAGCATGGAAATACCTGAGTCTCCGGGATTGGTCATTTGGTAGGATGGAGGCAGAAGTTTCTGGTGATGATGGCTGGGATGTGGATTTTAATCTTCTGGAGGCAGATTTGGGTGGTCCAAAGTTGAAAACACAGAATTTAAGTTTTTTTTCTCTTTTATTCTGTCCTTCCTACTTCTCACTTCCTGTCTTACTGAACTACATCTTTCCTTTCTTCCTTCCCTTTGGATGTTAAGGAGACTTCACATGCATCCTTCAAAATATTATTCTTTGGACCCAGAAGGGAGCCAGAGGTCATGTTTTCAGCTTCTGTTTCACAGCTCAGAAGAGTGGCATAGTCCAGAGATCTGGAATTCAAAGGCCTGGACTTTAGCCTGAGTCCCACCCTGGAGGTATATACCCTGGATAAATGCACTACCCTTTTGAACTCCAACTTTCTCATGACCAGAGATGGAATTCAACCCTCTCACCTCCCGGTCCAGGCTCCTAGGGCCCTGCTGTACTATATCCTATGACAACTTCACCTTCCTTCTGCCTCGGCCACTCACCTGTGCGTGGTCTCCACGGACGTTTTCCCTAGCATCGTCTGGTCTCTGTGCCGCAAAGGGTAGAAGCCACATCCCTCAAAGAGCACTGGGATGTAGTTCTTCCTAGTCCACATCAGTAGATACTCTGATCCCCCAAGAGCATGAAACTGAATAATAGACTAGATAGCCTTTCCCACATCCTGGCTCTTGGATCCTTGAGCTCTCAGATCCCAACATCCCCGGGTAGGTAGGGAAGTCCAGTTTGGCTCCCTGAACCTCAGAGTTCCCACTCTGTGGCCTTGGAGTGCGGTGTCCCTCCAAAGTATAAAATTGTGATCCCACTGACTTTGTCACCTTAAGAAAGTCACGAAGCACCTAGCTGCTTCATTATCACACCATTGGAACTGTGAGGAAAGCCTGGCCTAGCAAGTGTCCTCCGTTATGGGACATTGCTATGTAAAAAAATGGCCTCCATTGCTGGGCGGCGGTGGTGCTCACCTTTGAACCCAACACATGGGAGGCAGAGACATCGAGGCAGCAGATCTCTGAGTTTGAGGACAGCCTGGTCTATGGAGTGAGTCCCAGAACAGCCAGGGATACACACAGAAACCTTATCTAAAGAAACAAAACAACAACAACAACAAAAATGACCTTCATCATTTGATGGAAGATTTAAAACCGTCTGCATTTACTGAAAATACATATCAGACTCCAAACTAGATACAATACAAAACTTAGTGTCCTTAACTTACAAAGTAATCCCTCTGAGGGCTGGAGAGATGGCTCAGTGGTTAGGAACACCTGTTACTCTTCCAGAGGACATGGGTTCATCTCCCAGCACCTTCATGGCACCTCATAACAGTCTATAACTCTAGTTCCAAGGGATCTGATGCCCTTTTTTAGCCTCTGTAGGTACCAGGCACGCATGTGGCAAACAGACATATATGCAGGCAAAGCACCCATACACATAAAATAAAATAAAAACAATTTTAAAAAAATTAAAGTAATCCCCCTGAAGATGTACATACATCCCATTTGATAGGTAAGGAAATGAAAGTCAATAAAAGAACCAAGAAGGACCATCCCCGAGTCAGAGGGATAATAGTGATGTCATCCCTATTTAAATCCTGGACTGAATTTAAGAGTTGACTTATCCAGCACCCTACACTGCCAGATGGTGGTGGCACACTCCTTTAATCCCAGCACTTGGGAGGCAGAGGCAGGTGGATCTCTGTGAGTTCGAGGCCAGCCTGGTCTACAGAGCGCGAGATCCAGGACAGCCAGGGCTACACAGAGGAAACCTATCTTGAAAAACAACCAAAACAAAGCAAAACAAAAGGAGTTGACTTACCTGGCATCCAAGCCACCTCTGTAGATACACAATATACACAAGTTGATATTTATCAAGACATGGCCATCCGGGATAAATGTGGGCTGAACTGACTGGTTATGGAAGGCATAGAATTTTTTTTTCCATTCTCCCTCCGCCATGGCACCCAAATGTAGCTCCTTGGAAAACAAGGACTGGGGTCCTTCTGTCCACCATGAGTCACTGAGGCCAGTTTGCTGAGCACAGGTTACACCGTAGTGATGTGGCTCTCAGGCCTCTCTCTGCAATACAATAGCATCATGGTGTGTGCCACTGGTCAGTAAACAAAGCTGGTTTGTGCCGTGATCTGAAAGTCACATTTCTTGTCCCCTGGACACGAGCAATGGAGGGCCCTGCAAGGGAACGCTGCCCTCATCCCGGGCTCAGGCAGCTGAGTGGCAAGAGATTTTGGTGTTTGTTTTATTATTTTTGTGAGAATCCATTTCTGTTGGGAGACGGCTTCCGTAGTGATCAAAACCCCAGCTCTGTGCCATGGCTGTGAGTCCTCTCTCTCTCTCTCTCTCTCTCTCTCTCTCTCTCTCTCTCTCTCTCTCTCTCTCTCTCTCTCTCTCGTGTCTTGTGATGCTGACCCGGGGTGAGAATATTAGATAATGGGAGATTTATTTAAAGGAGAATTAGAGATAACACTCTTCAGTTCCCTTGTCTGCTTTTATGCTTCTGTGCTGCATCTTTCTGGAACCTGCTTTCTCATCCAACTCCCCACGCCCCCACCTCTTCACCCCTCCCCAGCCCTCCGAACCCCGACCCCCCCCCCTCCACACACACCCAGGCAAGCCTGTCTGGCAGCTCTGCGGGTGTCCCCTCGGCCACGGCTCACAAAGCCTACTTGTTAATCAGCCCATCACGTGTCTTTTGACCCCCTTCCTACCCTGTTTTCTCCACATCTCTTCCAGCCAACCGCTGCTACCACTTCGAAAGGAGAAAAAGCCAAACAGCCCGTCAAAAGAGCTATTATCCTACAGAGTCCTTAGCAAGGCCTAGAGCCTTCCAGTAAATGAGTCCAAGCCGCTCTTCCCCTCCCCCCTCTAGGGCAGCTGCCCCCTGCCCCCCAAACTTTCTCCCATTTCTGGGTCACTGCAGAGCTTGCTAATTCTATGTTCTGTGGCCCCTGGGCATTCTGGGAAGCCTCTCAGCCGCCATCACTGTGTCTTCCCTTTCGGAACTAGCTGGGAATGTCAATCCTCATGTTTGCCACCCTCTGACTATACGTGAAAGGCAGCAGTGGTGATACTGTGCATAGCTATTGAGTTATTTAAATTAGCGGTGTGGTCGTTTGAAGGAAAATGGCCCCCATAGGTTCATAGGGAAGGACACTACTAAGAGGCATGGCCTTGTTGGAGGAAGTGTGTCACTGGGAGTGGGCTTTGAGGTTTCAGATGCTCAAGCCAGACCCAGTGTCTCTCTCTTTCTGCTGCCTGAGGATCTAGATGTAGAACTCTCAGCTACCTCTCCAGCACCAGGTCTGCTTGCATGACCCCATACTTCCTGCCATGCTGATAATGGACTAAAGCTCTGAACTACAGCCAGCCCCAATTAAATGCTTTCCTTTATAAGAGTTGCCTTGGTCATGGTGTCTCTTCACAGCAATAAAGATCCTAACTGAGATAGGGGACCGGTAAGCAACATCTATTTTCTAGAACTTTCGATGGTGGATTATTGACTGGTCTAGCTATGAAAGTCTCCTGCACCTCACTTCACTGAGATTCAAATGAGAAGAATATTAATCGTATGGGTTATGACTAGGAAGATGCAGTTGCATTTGCAGACGTCTCTGCGATTGGCCCGATGGGCTTAAAGACAACCTTGGTAACTGTGTACTGTGGGCCCGAAATGGAAGGAAGTCTTCACCCACCCCCAGATTTTAGACTGGAGGTTTCGCTTCCTCTCTGTCACCTCCCATGTCCCTCACAGAAATCAGATAACATCTGACTCTGGGCCAAACTTTGTGCCATCAGAAGCCTGAAAAGAGAGACGTGAACATTCATTTTTTTTGGATTGGTTTTACAATTGTGATGTACCATGCAGAGAAATACGAAATTTTCCCAGATGGGATTTCCTCAGCCCTGGTTATGAGCAAAATGCCAGAGATGGTGAGGCCCACTGGTGCCAGAGCAACCAAACCCCCAGGGGCTGTGGAAAGACAGGGAATAGACTCTAGGAGGGATGGGACCTCGGCGAAGTTATACTGTTTTCTCACAAAGAGCTACTCAGCAGCAAACTACCCAGGGTTTCCCTAATTTTATAGGATCACAGATTGATCTGTTTCCTTCTCAAGCTTTATAAATGATGGCCTTTTCGGTGACGAAGGCCATGAGGTTTCTCTGACCTATCTCAACTTTCAAAAAATATTACAGAAACAGATTCCCTCTCTCTGGCTCAAACCAAGAGAAGTGTGTGTGTGTGTGTGTGTGTGTGTGTGTGTGTGTGTGTGTGTGTAGATATCATAAGGTTTACCGTTTTATCCATTTTAAATACACAAATTCAATGGTACCAAGTACATTTTCTCACTTTTCTGCACCCATCGGGACCATCCATCTGCAGAACTTAGCATCTTCTAAAACTACAGCTTTATGCCCATTAAACTTGAAGTCTCCATCCCCCCTCTACCAGCTCTGGCCACTCCTGTTATCTGTCCTGCTTCTTTGAAATCGATTGCTCTGTGCATCCCAAATAAACGGAACTGTATGGTGAATGTCATTTTAAAACTGGCTTTTTTTACTAGGCACCATTTCCTCTGTGCTCATGAGTGTTGGAGCAGGCATCAGAACTTTCTCTCTTTCCAGCCTGAACACCAACCAGTCCGCTGCCTTTCCTCCTTGAGCAACATGGCTGATGCACAATCCACATAAAACTAAGATCAGTGATAAATTATAGCAAATTGGTCGTGTTGTTCAACCATGGTCAAAAACCTCGTTTTGGAACATTTTCAGTATCCCTCCCAGATCCCTCGTGCCTATTGATGGCAGGTCCTCATTCTCAAAGCCCTTTAGCTCCCTCTGCTCGATTCCACCCCACCCCCACCCCCCTCACCTCCCCTACCCCCGGTCTCCTTCCTGTCTTCACAGACTTGCCTTTTCTGGATATGCATACACATGGATGATACCACAAGCGGTTGTCCGTGTTCGTCCTCTTTCATTTTGCATAGGGGTGGTGAGATTCCAGAAGAACATAGAGTGTTATAATGCGAATCAATAGTTTAATTCTTTTTTTTCAATGTCTGAATATTAATTCCATTGTACCAAGTATATCACATATTATGCACTCATTCTTGACCTGATGGACACGGGTGCTCTTCCCACTCTGCCTTTTACTGGTTAGGCTGTATGACTGTATGTGCAAGCCTTTGTGTGGGCATACTTTCATGTCTCCTGAGTAGATAGCTAGCATGGGACTGCTGGGTCACGTGACAAATTATAACCTGTAAAGAAATTGTGCAATGGTTTTCCAAATGTCTGTCCATGAGGGAGGTTTCTTTAGGGCAGCCTAATGGACCATTAGGGGGTGGAGTGATGTCTTCCTCTGCAATTCCCTCTCCAACTTCCTAGTCCATCTGGAGCACTGGACGAGAAATTAACCTAGGTGATCCTGCCACTCAGAAGTGTCCTTGCTTTCTTGTGGGCTCACCTGGAAACCAACCCTTTCTACCCAGGGTCACCTTACAATTCTAGAGTGTCTCCTGTCATGCTCCAGCCAGACTGCCAGAGCAGTCTTGGGCCACTCCCACATCCATTCTTTGTAGATACCATTCCTTCAGTCTGGAAAGTCCCCACTGTCCCCAAATAGCAACCTTTCTTGTTGTGCAAAGGCCCCTTCCTCCATGAAAGGATGGCTTGTGTCTCTTTTTCTGGACTGCCCCAACTCACATCTATTCCCTTCTGAGAGTTTCTATTTGTCTCTTACTGTTTTTCCTACAAAATTTCATCCAATGCTTCCTAAGTAGAAACAACTCAATAAATATTCTTTGGCTGAAATTGAATACCTTTCTTATGTTAAGGTGAGAGACATTTCTGTTTCATCCAGATGGAAAAAGACCATGCGTGAGAATTCTTTGGCCCACTCTTCGTGCTGTCTGAGCCCTCTCAAATATCCCAGCCTGCCTTTTCCCAGGATAATTCAATGACACACACTTCGTGATTCGGCCTCTTTGACTTTCTAGTTAAAAACTACTTTACCTTACCCCCAAAGCAACCCTGTCCCAATCTTGTCTCTCAATCTCCTACAGTCGAACTGCTCTCTTGTACAGCGTGGTGCCTAAGCGCTAAAATACCCAAGAGAATGACTCTTGGGGAAGGTCTGATCCGTATCAGAGACCCCAAGCCCCAAGCAGAAAGCACCATGGAAATCAACCAGTCAGTTGCAATCAACCAGTTGCAAAATGCTGTGCATACACAAATTGCACTGCATGGCAGGCTGCAAGTCCCAGCAGAATGTCCACCACATGCATGGGCTTACCAGCTTCACAGCGGCTGCAACACACTTAACAGCCGCAGGAGGAACACTGTGCAGGAGGGTGGTATTTCATGTGCATCTCAGCCACTCTTTTGAAGTTTTGTTTTGTTTCGTTTTCTCTTTTATTCTTCTTTTCATTAGGCAGGCCGAAGCCCTTTTTGCGACCATGTTGCTAGCATTAAAAAGGAAGCCACGTTATGGATCAGCAGCAGCAGCAGCAGCAGCAACAGTATTGTGCATGTATCTCCTGTGAGTGCAGCAAACCACCAGAGAACAGTTTATTGAGCAGAAACCCCAAATTAACCCCTCACTTGCTGTGGTATGCTCTAGAGCCAGCAGTCTTGCTGTGTTGCAAACTTCAATTCTTTTCATCATGTTCCTCGGGTTATTGGTGCGCTAAGGATAAGCTAGGTAAAGAGACTAAAAAGTGTGAACGTGTCTCCTATGTGTTTGGCATGACTTTTATCTATCCTATGAGGTGGGTGTGCCCCCCAGAGAGGACTTTACAGAGAAAGAAGCGAAGGACTTGTGGAGCCCGAATCCTAGGAACCACGGATGTCTCAAAGACCCTGGAAGAGGGCCCAGAGTTACTGAACTGCAAGCTCCAGCTGTATCTGGATTGTGTTTCACCGGTATGGACCATTTTCTACCGGCCTGCTCACTGGCATCTCCCGTCTGGTGTCTTCGTAAGCGGGCTGGATCCTTCATCAGACCTGAATGCTGCTGGAGTTCAACCAGAGTTTTCCTTACATGTTTGTTGAAATGATTTCCCCTCCCGTTGAGAAGAGTCACAGGGCAGAACTGCCCGTGTCTGGTTAGGCAACATGGCAGACGATCCCTGGAGTCAGCAGGCTCTTGGTTCTAATCTCAACGCTGTCACTTTTCACCTGAGGAGCCTAGACAAATTATATGACCTCCTGGGCATGTTTTATGCTGTGTAAAATGAGATAACCAGGTCTTAGCACAAAGTAGGTTCTTTATGAATACTAGTACTACCCCCATCCATCTATACCTTCCTTCCACTCTACCCATACTCTCGGGACTAATGGGGGACATTGAGTGATGAGTAAACACTCCTTATGGTCCCTTTCCACTTCTCACATAGAAGCTATCCATATCTCCCCCTTTCATCTTTGATATAGTCCTGCTGTGTTAATACCACATAAAGAGGAAGAGGGCATGGGATTCTGGGGCGGTACCTTCCTTCTCTCGGTGGAGTTATCCTGATTAAGGACTCAAGTAGGAGTTACACCAAGCCGCCTCTCTGTGAAGCGAGAAAACATCCAGGTGTTTGTGGGGGCTTTTCCGTTTTCATTCAGGCCTGGCACTGAGCGACAACTTCAGTGCCTGGGTGCTTAGGAAACACCCAGGTCAAGGTGCAAGTCTGTCCTACTCAGGCAGCTGGAGGAAGGGAGGGGGACTGGCTGGTTCATAGGCTGTCCTCCTGGGAGTTAAAAGATTTTTCGCCCGAGGAACAATTATCTGGAGCTCCTTGTATCTCAGGGAATGAGTCACGCGCTGGAAACGGTGTAAACACAGGTGGAAGACCTGGGTGCCCCAGCATGATTGAAGGCCAGTCCTCCAGGCCAACTCTAGCATTCCTTTGCTAAACACTAAAGTTCAAAGAGATGTGCTGAGCCATTTGCCAAAGGCCTGGGCGAGAGGTGTTGAGCAGGACCTGGAATCTCAATATTGCTAGCCCTGCTCCAGTCAGCTTAAGGTTCTTTTAGGATAACAGTAAGTGGCAGTGACGATGCCCACGCCCCTTTCACAACCCACCACCCTTGATCTCATTATGGAACTCTCGACCCCTCTCTTCCGCGTTCCGTCCTTTTTCTCGCTCCCCGCCAGGGTCTCCCAGGGTCGGCTGGATGGAGGGATGCAGAAACCACCTACCCCGACACATCTATGTGTGCACTGTGGTTAAGGAAGGCTGGGAGCATCGGAGCTCACCCAAGCCGAACTGTGCTGAGCAGGGATTGAGCTGGGGACGCTCTGGGGGGCTCGGCTCCAGGTCGAGGGGCGCCAAGGCTCGGGCTTGGGGGCGGAGCCTAGGGTTGGCGAGCGAGAGGGCGGGGCGCGGTGCGGAGTTCCGAGGGACCTGGGCAGGGGCGGTCGCCCTCCTGGCTGGTCTGGGGACGAGCGGAGTGGCGGGACGCGCAGGCCGGGTGGGGACGCCCGGCCCCGCCGAGGACTGCGGGGGTGCGGCGGGAGCTGGGCGGGCGGCGTCACCCGAGGCGGAGGGGGCGGAGCCGCGATCGCAGCTGCCACCCGGCCGCCGGGCCCAGGCAGAAGACAGCCGCCCGCGGCCGGGCAAGCTCTGCGCGCAGACACGCTGCAGACAATGCTCGGAGGCGCCCGGAGGGGCAGCGGACGGCTGGGCCACCGACGGCGAGGCTGCGGGAGTGCAGCCCCGAGGTGAGCCCACCACGCTCTCTTCAGATCCCGCTGCTTTTTGTCTGGCGAACGTGGAGGCCCAGGGGCTTTCGCGGGGTCGCTGCGGTGGCCCGAGCGGGCCAGCCCCTGCTGGCGTCCCCCGGGGTGACAGGCGACGGATCCGAGCGCATGGAGAGTCCGGACCGCGTGCGCCGGGTTGTGCCTTCGGTGCAGGCGCCGAGCCGGGAAGGCTGGGGAGTCGGAGGGGTGTTTTCAATTCATTCGAGAAAAGCTCGCTTTGAAACCGGGAAACTTTTCCTTGGAGTTCCGGGAAGGGGGATCGACTGTTGTGATGGTTTCACTGGTCTTGCTGGTCTAGCCACGCTGTTTTGTTTCTTGGGGACTGCTTTCCGCCGTGAGTATTGTCAGAGGGGCAGAGGCCGTCCGGGCTGCTCCGAGGTGACGATTTGGGGGTTCAGAGAAACCACCTCTAGGCAGCAGCGGATCTCCAAAGGAAGGTGATGCCCTTTTGCCGAACCTTGGTGAGCATTCCATACCTGGAGCTGGCTCGCAAGCTTTGCTTGTGCTGCCCCCTCTCCAGCCGGGCGCACACACCCACATGAACCCACAAGCACACGCATGCACGCTTACACTTGGAAAATAGAATCTCCACTTGTGAGTCCTGGGAATGGGAATGGAGGAAGCTGAGCATTCCCAGCTCACATCACAACGCTCGCTCCCTGTCTGTGTCTGTTCTCCCAGGTAAAGCTCTAGCATGGCTTTGAAAAGCCGATTGCAGAGCCCAAGGGTCTAAGGGTGAGGAGTTTTGCAATGCTTTCAGTCCAGAGTCAGGTTTCGAAGGTTTAACTGATCTGCTGCTCTCAACTATCCTTTATAGCTCCTTCTGAGGACATTTGACAGGAAGCCCCAGGGAAAGCAAGTTGGCTTTCCTGGGGTCCTTCAGAACTTTGCTCTCTTTTTTGGTTCAGACTGCAGAAGCTGCAAGTCCATATTTCTCCTGCTGAGTTAGATTGCTCAGCAATGGAGAAAGCAAAAAATAAAAAGTTATGTAAATATCCTAATTTACCCTCTATGTCTGCGCGGGGTGGGGGGGTGTTCGGGTGGTCACCTCCTGCTTTCTGCCTAGACCACTCTGGCCAATGGAATATAATGCAATCTAGATACTTTCCATACATACTTTTTTGGATGTTGCATTAATTTAATTTTTTAATTAATTGATGTTAATTTCTTTGTAAAAATACAATAGAATTTTTAAGAGGAGAATTTTCTGGAATTCTATTGGGGTAAGGCATAAGCAAATTTGGATGCCAATATGAGGGGTATTTAGAGCCAAAATACTTCATTTAATGGATCTGGCCACCCTGATTCTTCAGATTCTTTTTGAGGCGGGGTGGGGGTGTATCTGACAGCTCAGCCTTGTAAACTCTAAGCCGCAAACCCAGTACAGAAGTCTGCAGAGGCAAGGCTGTTCTATCATGACTTGGATCTCAAAGAATGCTGAGATCTTTTTTCTAATCTTACACTGCAGCCTCCCACTGAGAAATGGGAGAATTTGCATAATTCTGGGGGCCCACCTACCCTCTGAGGTAGGAATGTGAGCCAGAAAGGTACCATTCCCAGGCTTTGGAGAGCTGGTACTACCCAGGGCTCTCTGCTCCTGCTTTGTGAGTGTCGCTGGCATATTTGATCATCTTTTTTACTGAAAGCAAACAGAAGATAGTTCCAGGCACAGAAGTGGAACTCGAAGAGGCTGTTCTAGCTCCCTCGACAAGGTGGGAATTCCTGTTTGCAGAGACTAAGAAACCAGTTTTAAGAGGACATAGTGAGTTAATAATGGTGGGGAGCCCAGGATTTCCTTTGTTCAGTGATTTTTTTATTCAGTGATTTTTTTCCTTAAGTTCCTTTGTGTTTCTGGGCAGTTGTATGGTCCACGTTGTGGTCAGCCTGTAGAAAAGTGTCAGAATTAAGGAAGACGGAGAAGAGAGTGCTCATAAATTAGTGAAGGGTCTCAAGGTAACTTCTGGCAAGATAGCACAGTAATCAGGAGCCTACTGAACTCCCTGGGCTATCAGAGGCTAATGGCTACCAAGAAAAGGAGAGGAGACCTTAGAAGGTGGGGTGTCTGGGTGTTCTGGATTGCCTACTGAACAGGAAATGAGATGTGGCCACCCAAACTGCTTCTGTGTGAACATGTGGCAGCCTCTGAGGAAGTGGTTGGATGACAACCTCCTCAGCTCCCCTAGCCTGACCTAGAGCCAGGGAGCTGAGGAGCCCCAAGGAGCTGCTGTCCATGCTCTCTCCCCAAGGGGCACTGGAGCCTTGTCTACAGTAGACGTGGGCCTGAACATGGCTTTCCTGTGACCTGGTGGGTCTAGTTAGACTTCACGCATCAGAGTCCCTAGAATATCAAACTCAACTTCTCTGAAGACCAAAACATTTCCTCCCTCCCACCCTCTCCCACCCCTGCCCCTGCATCCCTTACAAAATTTAGCAGCAAGCCAATAGCTCTCTGGGGCTGGTGTCTGTAGGAGAGAGACATAATGTGGTCATGATTCCTCGACTTGTTGAAAGCCTGTGACCTTTTCTGGAAGATTGGACATAAAGAACCCGCTCTTTGGGTGCCTTGGGGGAGAAGAACCTAGCCAGCATCGTTAAAGAAAGACCCGACAGTGACTGCAGAAACATTCAGATTTTGGAGTGTTCATTTAGTTTAATGATGAAGCCGGTTCCTCATTAACTGGCTGGAGTAGGGGTACATCTGCCTTCTACACTCACTCAAGCTCCTCGTCTGTGAGTGTGGGAGACCAGAAAAGGAGTGCTTCCCACAAGGAGTCTGGAATGATCTTTGGAGCTCTGGGGTGATTCTATCTGGCTAGTCCTGATGCCTGGTTAGAGAGAATTAACCTCAGGCAAATTCTCACCAGAGGAGGTGGAGAATAACCCTCAAGGGCCGTGCTTTCCCTGTTCAAGGGGAATCTGTTTATCTCAGAATTAGCCACAAGATTTTCCCTCTAGAGCACTCTCCTAAAGGATGCCAATTCATCCTTGGTAAAGAAAAAGTAGCAATGAGCGGCAGGCAGATGGATAACGGCAAGCTAATACTTAGTACCCTGAACAAGGTGAAGGTGAGGTGGCGCGGTCCAGTCAGTCATTTGGTTTATCTTCCTAGACCAGCAAACTTGGTGTCCATGGCCAGATTCCAATGTTTGCTGTAAAAATCTGCACCTGTCGAATGGGATTCACAGAGACCTCATACGATGCTGTTTGCATTACCTACGTAATGGCATAGCTCTGTGCACTCTTCCTAAGGCGTGAATTCACTTACTGAGGACTATGGGAGCAAATTGGGCTTTTATATTGAGTTTCAGAACCATTGAGCTGTTTTGACAAGGTGACCACCTCTCCCCAGGGATATGATAGGACCAAACTGTTGGACAACCTCTTCTCTCGTATTCTGCCTAGTCTCTCTTAGGCCAGGACCGTGGAGTCAGGCATTTCTGTCTTCTGTTTCCAACTTGGCATGTAGCACCCTGCTTTGTTTACCTCAGCACAGAATTGAATGGTGTAGAGTAAGCAAGGGGCGGGGGGGGGGGGGGCAGACTTCCCATGATGCCCAACATCCTGACAAGGTATCCCTATGGGACAGGCCAGCGCCACACCTCTCCCCCTTTTCAACAACTTATCAGAAGTATGGATAACAAGTTCCATTTCAGAATCCCTGCCTGCTTCTGTTCCCGTTCAGTTTTTGTTCAAAACCTGCATGTTATTCCCTATAAACCCTCGATTTTATATGGGATACTACCTTGTGGTTTTTGTTCTTGGGCAGTGCCCCAGGCTTTGGACACCTCGATTTCTGGAAGAATGTAGGGAGCAGGTACAGGGCTCTCATATCAAACTCTAAAATACTCAGTGTTTGGGGGACTGAAATGATGTGTGCGTGTGTGTGTGTGTGTGTGTGTGTGTGTGTGTGTGTGTATGTGTGTATGTGTTTATGTGTATGTGTGTTTATGTGTGTGTGTTTATGTGTATGTGTGTTTATGTATGTGTGTTTATGTGTATGTGTGTGTCTGTGTGAGTTTGTGTGTTTGTGTGTGTGCGTGCCCCCATACATGCATGTGTGGAGGCCAGGCATTGATATTTGGTGCCTTCATCCATGGTTGTACACTTTTTATTTTGAGACAGGATTACTCACTAAGCCTGGAGCTCACTGATTGGCTAGATTGCTTGGCCATCAAGACCCTGGGATCTTCTTGTTTCCACCACCCAGTTTTGGGATTACAGATGTGTACTGTATCATCATGCCCAGCTTTTCAGTGGGTGCTAGGGATCTGAACCCAGGTCCTCATGCTTGCATTTTACCTATTGAGCCCAGAATGTTTTCTGTGTTGTCTGTTTGAGAAAAGGGTCGATGCTAGTTTGTACACTTTCTAATAAAGCTGCCTGAATATCAAAGAGCTTGTGAGCTGAGCACCGACCCCAGAAAACATTGGCCATCTTTGCCCCTTTACCTTCTTCTTCCTTGTTTCCAGTCTCATATTGCTAATCACACATCTTCTGGTGGGGTAGATTCCTAATGAGGCAATGATCTGCCTTCCAGGGAGCTGATCTGGAACCCACCTCTGCCTCCTACAAGACCCCATCAGAGCGCTGGGCCCAAGATGAACTCGCATCCTATCGGCTCACAGTGCTCCAGACCCTTCGACTGAACCCCGAGAGCCCAAAAATGTCTGCGTGCAGCGACTTTGTGGAGCACATCTGGAAACCCGGGTCTTGCAAGAACTGCTTCTGCTTACGGAGCGACCACCAGCTGACGGCCGGCCATCCCAAGGCTAGAGCAAGCAGCCTACCCACCGTAAGTCGCCTGCCTGCCAGGCCCGAGAACTGCCGCCTGGAAGATGAAGGTGTGAATGGCTTGGCCTACACAAAACCCACTATTGCTGTAAAGCCCACCATGATGAGTTCTGAGGCCTCCGACTTGTGGACCGAGGCCAGCCTGAGTGCTGAAGTCCCCAAGGTGAGGCTGACTAACCCAGCTGGTATTTTTACAGGAGCTGTTCCGACTCTAACACATGGTAGCTGGCTGGCAGCCAGGGAGGGCTGGTGGAGCAAGAATCCTGCAGGATAGTTGCCTACTAGCTTGCCCCGAGGTTGCCGCTCCCCCGACAGCTGCTGTTTGGCGGTTCCCATCTTCTACCTTTCTATTTCTTCCTGTAGGCTGGTATCCTTTAGTGCAGGATGGCAGCATTTTCTCCTGATTTGGAGACTTATAAAAGAGAAAGCAAAAAAAAAAGGAAAACAAGAGCATGAAATTATTGGCTCTGACTTTAGGTATTTACAGAAGCAGCAACCATTGTACAGTGATTGCCACGCGCCCGCCCCCCCCCTCCGCAGTGAGTTTCATGACCAAGGCCATTTCATCCCTCTCTCCACCCACTTCCCTTCCCTGCACATTGTAGAGGACGCCATAAGCACACATATTTAAAAGAGAAAAGCCTGAAAAGACACAACCGCAATGCACAGTCATATCTAAAATACCAGCAGAACAATTCCTCATAATTACTTACTGTCCAGCCATTGTTCAGGCTTGTACTTTTTCTTTTTTAAATTGTATGTGCATGTGTGGTCACGTGTGTGGGGTGTGTGTACGCGTGTACCTGTGCACCTGCCAGAGGTCCACTAGGGTTTCTTCCTCAGTTTTTCTCCACCTTCTTATTCATTTGTTTGTTTATTTTTTAACGATTTCTTTATTTTTATTTTGTGTGTCTGGATATCTTGCTTGCATACGTGTGCACTATGTGCATGCATTTTGTGTGTCTGAATATCTTGCTTGCATACGTGTGCACCGTATGCATGCCTGGTGCCTGCAAAGGCCAGAAAAAGCTTTCAGATCTCCTGGAACTGGAACTGGAGATGGCTGGTGGCTGCCATGTGGGTGCTGAGAAGTTCCAAACGTAGGTCCTCTGGAAGAGCAGGAAGTACTCTTAGCCGTCACTCCTGCTCCTTCTATTTTATTTTTGAGGAGTTCAACATTTCTCAGCTAGATTGACTGGCCAGTGAGCCTCCAGCATCTACCTGTCTCTGCCCACTCCCCCGGGACTGGGGTTACAGGTTTGTAACACCACACCCAGCCTCTTAGGAGAGTTCTGGGGATCTGAACTCAGAGATGCATGCTTGCATAGTGAACACTTAACCCATTGAACCATCTCCCCGGCCCCCATACTTCTAGTTTTGAAGTACAGGTTTAGCTAGCTTTATCTAGGGCCACTAGATATTTATTTATATTGCCAGAGGTTAGACTTTTCTTCATTTCCTGAACGAAACCCATAGAAAGGTATAATTATGGAGAGGGTATGTGGGCCAGAGCTGCTGGAGGCTGCTGTCTGTGGACGAGTCCCTAAGACCATATGCCTAAGACATTCTAGGAACTCTTGTTCCACAATGACCTCTTCCAGTGTCCTGGATTTCCTCAACCAGGACGGTACATGGATCAGGAAGGGTGTGTGAGTGTGTGAGTGTGTGAGTGTGTGTGTGTGAAAACAAAGGTCAGTTTTAAATCTAGAGTAGTTTATGTGAAGAGAGGCACTTCCTGTGGAGGCAGCAAGCTCCATGTCCCTTTTAGAGCTGTTCCGTTTTCCCTGGGCTGGCTACACCCATTCACCCAGCCAGTCTCAACACCTTCAGCTTTCACCTATACAAGCCAGTGATTCTGCATTCAGAATCCCCTGGGTAAGGAGCCCCATGCCAGGCCTGCGTTGAGGCTATCTGTACAAATGGGAGTGGGTAAGAAGAGAAGGAAAGGGGACAGTGACTTCGTTGATGGGAATGATCAGGTCACATCTTTGTCTTGTTGCCCAATTAGTCCAGCCACTTAAGCAGGTGGGAGCTGAGCTCACGGCTGTAAACTGGCAGAAAGGGCAGCTGTGTGACATAGTTCCAAGGAACGCTTATCAAAAAGCCAGGAAGCCTGAACTCAGCTCAGCAACTGTCCGTTTGCCTCCTGGTCTGCACCTACTTCCTCCATGAGGTGCTTTTAAAAATCATTCAGGAGCTGGGCAGTGGTGGTGCATGCCTTTAATCCCAGCAGTTAGGAAGCAGAGGCAGGCGGATGGATCTCTGTGAGTTTGAGGCCAGCCTGGTCTACAGAGCAAGCTCCAGGATAGTCAGAGCTGTTACACAGACAAACCCTGTCTCAGAAAACCAAACAAAATCATACAAGGGGCCTGGGGAGATGGCTGCTCTCCAGAGGACCCAGGCTTAATTTCCAGCACCCACATGTGCACTCAAAATAGTCTATGACTCCAGTTCTAGGAAATCTGATGCCCTCTTCTGTCCTTCTTGGGCACCGGGCACTCACATGTGGTGCTCAGACATACATGCAGCCAAAACACCCATATACACAGAATAATAAAATAATTTTTTAAAGAAAAAAAAAGGAAAAACAAAACAAAACATCATGGCTTGTTTCTTCAGGAATGTGCCATAGCTGGGTTATCCAGTGACCAGTCAGCAGAAGAGAATACCAAACAAAATTTCAAACTATTTCCAATCCAGAGGAATTCTTCCACCTAGCCATTGACTTTTCATTCTTTTTCAATTTCTGGTTTTGATCTGTCTTACCTGACAGACATAAGCCAAGAAAGAGCATTGCAATCCCTGGGTGGGATGCTTAGCTTAGGATGTAAAGACAGATGACTCACTGGGTACCCTAATCACGATCATTCCACTGGAGAGGTCAAAGGTGGGCACGGGCATTGCTTGCTCACGCTCCTAGGATGGACCTGCATGCTGCCTGGGACAGGTGACAAGGTTATTATTTGCTTTTCATTTTTCCTTCTCTGATAAAGGGTAACATGTGTTTTTTTTAACCCTGGGGCTGTGTAGGTCAACTGGAGAAGAGCCGCCGGCAAGCTCCCGCTCCAGAAGCAGGAAGATGGGCCGATCGTTTACCTAGGCAGCTTCCGAGGAATGCAGAAGCCTCCGGGCTCCCTTGCCTGCGCAGATGGCAGCTCTTGCTGTCCCCCAGCCTACACCATGGTTGGACTTCACAACCTAGAGGCCCGAGTGGAGAGGAACACTGCCTTTCAACCAGTGAGCTTCCAGGAAGAGAAGCCTGGGAGGGAAGAGCTTCCCTCGGCTCAGGAGAGCTTCCGCCAGAAGCTAGCTGCCTTTGCGGGGATGACGTCCAGCTGTCCCAAGGGCCCCAGGCCCTGCCCTTCTCCACAGCCCCTGCGGGAGTCCCTGCCCTCAGAGGATGACAGTGACCAAAGATGCTCACCCTCCGGAGACAGCGAAGGTGGAGAGTACTGCTCCATTCTGGACTGTTGTCCAGAATCCAAGGATGCTGTGCACAGCACCGAGGGCTCTGGCAGACGGGGCGGGGACTGCTCACCCATGTGCTGGGAGAAAGGGACAGGTACAAGACCAACGGACGAGGAAAAGCGGGTTCTGAACTTCCCCAGAGAGTGTTGTGTCCAGGGATCCACAGCAAACCCATCTTGTCTGGGCCCCAAGAAGCCATCCCTCAACTCAGAGGCGGCCAGCTCTTCCGACGGCCTGTCCTGTGGCAGCAGCCGCAGCGGGGCCAGCAGCCCCTTCGCGCCCCACCTTGACAACGACTACTGCTCTCTGGTGAAGGAACCTGCCCTGGGGAAGCAGCAGGACTCCGGCTGCCATGTCATCACCTCTGGCAAATGTGGGGGCCAAGCTGGGGAGCTCCAGCCCCCAGCCCTTCCTAGGGAGGCTGGGCCGCCTGAACCCATCTACGCGGAAAGTACCAAGAGGAAGAAGGCTGGGCCGGTGCCCTCGAGGCCCGAGACCAAGGCAGAGCCGGTAGCCGCTGGCCACAGCCAGGGCCCAGTGTGGACAGGTGATACCTGGGCTCAGAAGACATCCTCTGGCTGGAGCCAGGACAGGGAAGGCACAAATATGGCACCTCAGGTGGCAACCACCATTACCGTCATTGCTGCCCATCCAGAAGAGGACCACAGGACTATCTATCTGAGCAGTCCTGACTCCGCGGTGGGGGTGCAGTGGCCACGCGGGCCTGTGAACCAGGACATACAGGCTGGCGAAGAGGAACCCTCGGCTGTGAAGGGGCTAAGCTCACGGGAGAGCCATCCCCATAATGCGACTGAAAACATGCCCAAGGAGAAGCCCGCCATTCCTCCTAAGCTGTCTAAAAGCAGCCCAGGAGGGTCCCCAGCATCACCGGCAGCCTCCCCTCTGGCTGACCACAGTGATGGGAACACTGGTGGCAGCAGCGTTGGACCCCAGCTTTTGTCTAGAGTTCCTGCTAATCGGACTTCTTCCTGCCCGACCAATGGCGTCGCCACTGGGGACCCTGCCAAGTGTCCCCCACCAGCCACCTCCTCTTCAGCCCTGGACCAGAGACGTCCAAGATACCAGACTGGCGCTTGGAGCCGCCAGTGTCGCATAGAGGAAGAGAAGGAGGTCGGGCAGGAGTTGTTGAGTCAAAGTTGGGGGAGAGAAGTGGAAAATGGTACCACAGACCATTCAAACTCCTCTACCTGGCACCGGCTCCATCCTACTGACGGCTCCTCCTCCTCCGGGCAGAGCGGCAAGGCTAGCACTGGGATGAGCAAATCGGCTTCCTTTGCCTTTGAGTTCCCCAAGGACAGAGGCAGGATGGAGGCGTTCTCACCCCCTCCCCCACCTCCGAAGTCAAGGTGAGTGCCGCTGCCTGTGTGGAAACTGGCATAAGAAAAAAACACCAGTCTGTAGGGCCTTTCCCAGAAACCTTTGCTTCTGCTTGCCTCTCAGGAAAGCCTAGGGCCCATCCTGGAGTGCTGCCTGCCAGGGCACCAGTGTCTGCCCAAAGGCCATTGTGCATTATGTAAATTTTCCCCGAGCCCCAGCTCAGCCTTGAGAAAGCAGGAACTCTTGCTTGGTGTGTGTGTGTGTGTGTGTGTGTGTGTGTGTGTGTGTGTGTGTGTGTGTGTGTGTGTGTGCTCTGCAAACAAGCCTAGAAGCGGGTGTGTGGACTGGCTGTGTGTAATGAATCTTACAAAGCAAAGAAGCACCGGGGGGTTGGGGATAGAGCTGAGTGGCAGGGCACTTGTAGCAGATGTTAGGCTGCGCCTGTTTGATCTCAAGCACTGGGGAAAAAAAAACAAAAAAGCACTTGGGGCGTGGACAAGCTCCGGGATAGAGCCCATGCTTAGTCCGAGTGAGGCCTGGGGTCGGATCCCCACCATCACCAAACCAAACAACACTACCAAGTTGTTGATCCTTTGCCCCCCCCTTTTTTTTAAATCTACCTCCTCCTCCAATCTCTAAGTGTCTTCTGCAGTGTTTTCTTAAAAAGCTCCAAAACTTCATCTGTGGCAACATAGAAAAGAGGGCTAAAGGGGGTCCACCCTTCAGAAATTAGGTAGGTAAAGCCAAGAATGTGTACAATAAACGATTACTGCTCTATTAGGCCTTAGGGGACAGTGTTTGGCTTTTTTTTGTTTTTGTAAAGGAAGCTTTACACATGGTTAAGCGCCTCTGATGTGGGTTTTTCAAAGGGGGGGGGGGAAGAGTACAGTTTGGGGTCAGCATGCTGAAGCTCCCAGCGTTCTCCTTGCCTGGCTACTCGGCTGCTGGTTTAACGCGACTTTCAAAAGCTCCAGGAAAATAAATGTCTTTTCTAAGCTATTGAACTGTGAATGGCATTTAAATTCTGGGGAATTTTTTTTCTCTCCCCTTTTAGTGAAGGCAAAACTGGTTTTGATCGAGAAAGGAATAGCCTGCTGTTACAGAAAGCCAGGCTCCCCAAATGGTCTCTCCAGCCCTGTTGCTGCTGGTGTTCCTTTGGAGCAGCGGCGGCCTGGCCTCTAGGTTGCTGTCAGAAACAAGGGAATTGACCACAGAGAGAAGCCGCCGTGACATTTGGCTTTGAACTTCAAGGCGTTTTAGGCTGTGATGTGATCTAACACGGGCTTGCTTTCATGACCACTGCTGTGTTCTGGTATTCCATTGGCTCCCCACCACGCGGTATTGACACCTTCCAGGGTCATGGGTGATGGTAGACTCTGCCTGGTCCCTCAGCTACAGTTTTTAACTCCCTGAAAGAATGAATGATTCAGTAGCTGAGTTCGCATTATGAGACACTTACTATGGGGGAAGCATGGATTTTTTTTTTCAGGCGTTAGACATCATAACTCACTTCATTCTTAGAATAGACCCCTGAGAGATGAATTTCCAGCCACAGTCCACAGATCACGAAATGGATTGAGAGCTGAAGAGATCTGTCCCTGACGGCCTAGCCACAACTCACCTAACCGTGCACATCCAGGCATATAGCAACAGAGCAGGGTATGAGAGCAGAACATTGCCTGTGTGACTCAGTCCTGGGTGCTGGTGGAGCACCAGATTCAGCATCACAAAGCCAACCTATTCTGTCTCACATATATCAGTTGAGCAAGCCACATACTGCCTCCTGGAGTCTCTTAAATGGGATGCTTATTCTTGCCTGACACCCATTTTTCTAAACTATATTTTATACTTACATATATGTGCCCTTGCACACACACACACACACACACACACACACACACACACACACACACACACACGTGCTGTGGTCAGAGGTCAGTTCGCAGGAGTCAGCTCTCTCCTTCTACCATATTGGTTTCAGTCGGTGTCAGCCTTTGCAGGGAGCCTTTACCAGCTGAAGCAGCGTGGGCTCTCACCCCGTTACTGAAATGAACAGAGTTCACCGAGGAGGTTAGTTATTGTTCAGGTAAAAGGTGCCCCAGGGTGTCAAGTGTGACGGTGGCAAGCCTGTCTTGTAGGAATCAGCCTGTTACAGTCCTGGGAACACCACCCAAGTCTTAGAAAAGTAACTGAAACTTCTCACTTAAGAGTCATAGGACTTGGAGAAGTCTTGGTAACCATAGCAACATGACTCAGAAAGGGTTTTAATTAGCATCTAGGGTGATTCAGAAATCCTAGGTCCAATAAGCTATGACAAAAACCTTTGGGTTATATGTAGCTCAGATAAGGTAGGAACCTCAGAGGTTCTGGGTTCCATTTCAAGAACAAACAAGCAAACAAACACCCCTTTAAACCATGGCATTCAATTTAGAGTAAGTCAAACGCGTTTGTTTGGGGATGCATTCTCTTTTTACCTGTGTTGCTGGCAGGCACTGTCTTTTGGATGTTTACATCTCTCCTGTGAGTAGATAGAGGGCAGACTTGGGACTATAAACTGTCTTTGAAATCTGGAACTTAGGATGCCTTGAATTCTTTTAAGAAAGACTACAAAGGACTGACCCCAAAGTATTCTGATCTCAGAAGTCAAGTTGTAGGCCAATGAGCAGGCTAGGGGCCACGCAGCCCCAGCTGAGTCAATACCAACCATGGGGCACATCGGTAATTATGGAAGATGGTATCAGTTTTCCAAGATGGAAATTGTGGAGCATCTTCAGGCAACATGGAAGGTTAATCTGATTTCCATGCATAGAGCCAGGCTTTGTTTCTAATGATCAGCTTCGTTATGTGTGTTATGTATGCTTAGCACCTAGACAGAGGTTGCTTCATGCAGGCCTGCGTTGTGTTCTACTTACATAGTGTGGAGAAACAGAAACAGATTCACCTGCTTCCTGACCCCTGTCTTGAGGGGAGTGGCTTGGCTTTCTACGGCCCTATACTGAGTGAGTAGCTTATCTATCTGTTTGAGATATTACCTCCTGCTGTAATGTTTTGCAAGACGGACTCTCCAAACCTATTCAAGGTGCCTTTCTTGGCTGAGTCTGGACCCTTTCTTACTGACTGCTGCCAAGGCAACTGCCTACATCCACAAACTCACACGGCTTAGGGTGAGGGACCTTACCAGGTTTCTGGGTCACCTTGTCCCAGTTCAGGGCAGGATTATAAGATAAGGATTGACAAGTACGGTTGGTTGTTGGCTAGGAAACAAAAAAAGAGAAAGAAAAAAGAAAACCTGCAGGCAAGAAGTGTGGGCTGTGCGTGCATGTGTGCACACTTTACCTTCTAGACTTGAGGCAGTTCAATGAGAGCAGCAGCACCTGAGAAAACAATTAGAATCCAATTTCTTTCTGCCTTTCATTTCTGGGCAGACGCAAATCTACTTTGACATGACTTATGACTTTTGAGTGACACGGTCAGTAGAAAACGACGTATCTGGTTAGGGCCAGCAGGCAAGCAGTTCACAAAGAGACCCAAATTAGAAGGCTAGAAGGGTAGGCCTGGGCTCAGAGGTGGACCCAATGCTGGAATAAGAGGACAGGTGGGTTTATGTTTCTCTACAGTCTGGGTCCAGGTAAGGCTAATCCAGAGAAAAGTTTCCCGCGAAAGTAGGAGATATTTTTGTTTTGATGTTACCAAGTTTCTATTTGACCCACTCCATGGTCCATTGTTCTTTCCCTTTGGGGGATGCTGGGAAGCGATGCTGTACCTTGTTCAGCTCCCTCCTGTGTTGGAGGGACATCATCACCGGTAGTTCTTCTCTGTCCACAAAGGCAGCCTCTTTGCTGGCGGGAGGAACCGTTACATCTTCATTGTGTGGTCTCTCCTGAAACTTGGTCACACAGCATGACCCCAAGGACAGGAAGAGCATGAGTAAGGTGGCTGTGTCTTCAGACTCCATATCTGATCTGATGAAAGCTCTTTATTTCAGCCCACTTTGTATTGTAGTGAATTATAGGGGGTGACACTAATGCATAGGAAGTCTTGAGATGTCATAGGCTCATCTGGGTGTCAATTTGAAAAATCAGTGTGTATTAGGAAGCACTGTGTATATGTGTAGCCTTCCTGACCATGCTTAAATAAGGGGTGGAATTGGGTTGGGGAGAATGCATACTGGGCATATTCCTTGGGAGAAACTCCATACCCTCCACACACAGTTTAGCAAATGGAACAAGGGACATGTGTCAACAACGATGTTTCTACTCTGCTATGCCTTAGGCAAGCCAGCAGTTGGCCCCTTCCCATGAGCTTGTAGACAGAATCTGAAAACAGGGCATCTCATATGCCATATAAGCAGGAAGTATTAAAATTAATTCTTGTCTTTTGTTCTATATTTTTTAAACAATTTCTGACTTGATGGATATATATATATATCCTATATATATATACTCTTCAAAGAATTTCTATGCAATTCTGAGCTCATGTCCTTGATTACACCTAGGAGTTAGATAATCTCTAAATCATTGGACATCTACTAATGACCTACTTTTTATTGGGCTGCATGCAAGACGCTAAGAATCCAGCAATGGTGGCTTTTTTCTCTTGGGCTCTGAGGATTTCATCAGTGCGAAGTAAGTGAGGAGGTGTTCAGTCTGACCACCAAAGGCTCACCCCTGCTTTGACTTCCTTGGATGAGGCTGTTCCTCCTAGATCTGTTTCACCGCAGCCTGGGCTCTGTTCAGCACCAGAAATGGGAACTAAGCTCAGTGTGCAGGGCTCATGAGTGACAGCTCTCTCCTTCATGCCCTGCTGACGTCGCTCTCCAGAAAAGCACCTCACTTCTGACTTGACACAAAAGAGGTGCCCAAGAGACGTTGACAAAAGAAGCTGATCGCTTGGGCTATGAAGTGTCCTGAGCCGAGGTCTCTTGGTGGCCCTGTGCTCTCTTCACGCCTCACGTGGGGAGGGTGACACAGCGTGTCTCTCATTACGCTAAACTTGGCCCATGGTTCCAGCTCCTCAAGAGACTGTGAAG